TAGCCTCTCCACTAACTCAGGTAGAGGAAGGCAGTTCAGAGTCTCATGAGGGCCAGTGGGTTTAAAAGTGCTTTCAGCTTTGCTAAATATGAGCTTGCTATCCCAACATCTTCACTGCTGAGTGTATGCTCAACACTGAAGCTACTTTGAGAGGTGTGATGCACAGTTGAAGTGGTTGTGGATCATTGTGGAGTTGAGAGTTGAGAGCTCAGTAGATCTATTGACATGTTTCAACAGCGTGTTATGGCTGTGACTGGACTCGACAGACTTTCGGTACCAGCCCCCCGCATTGTAGCCTTGGTGATCAGCTTTTTCACTGTACTGAAATTGCCATGTGAAAGGGAAACTTGCTGAACCCTTTAATTGACAATAAAACCGAAGAACCTGTCCATTTCCTCATTTGTAGGCCATGGTGTAAGCTCAGCTGGCTCCAAAAAAGCTTTAACAAAAGCAGTACAGGGGACAACTTGGGCCTCATTTACTGTACTGCACATTAAGGCTTCAATTGTTGTATCAACGTGATGACTTTTCCCAATATTCCAAGAACTTTAGGGGTAAGACAGAAAAGAGATGGATTGAGCTGATGTCAGATGGGTTCACCATCAGACAGAACCAATCAGCAGATGCACACTGCCAACGTTATCAACTGTGCAAGTCTTCAGATATCGAAGCCCTTAGATCACACAGCATCACCTGCTCACTGCTGAAGTGAGAGATTGAAGAGGTAGTTCAGTACCAGAGAGAGTTATAGAGAGAGGGCAGATGAGAATGATAAGTATCAGTGCCTCCTATCAGACTTAGCTGCATGTGCTTTCAAACCTAAACTTGGTAGTTTATCTATAATTGACAATCACTGCCTTTGGAAGTCACCCAAACCCATGGGAAAGCCCGGGAGGGAAAGGGCAGTCCACTTTTCATGCCTTAAATCTAAGATTAAGAGCTTTTTTTTTAAAGCCAAAGGAATACTCATGTACAATATCACAGACATTAATTATTGTACTTACAAGAACGAATGTCTTAATTGAGCAGCTTTGTGTATTTCAAATGTTTGGTGAGGCAGTCTTGCAAACTAACATGCAGGTACAATGTACAGTTATGTTGTGTGCTGTGATTGCGTCACTGTGCCTCTCCTCTCCTGTAGTGACTTTTATATGGCCTTGGCTGGCTCCTCAGTGGCAGACCACTAAGCCAAATTGATTAGATGAAGGCTCTCCTCTTCGAAGGTGTCCACACTCTCCCCCCCACAGGCAATCTCTCTAATGGCCCGCCAGCAACCCTGTCACCAAAGGCTTCAAGGACCAGCAGCGAATCAGGGACTGCAGGACCAGGTCAGTGGAGGAATGGACTACTCATCACTGTTTTATTTTGTTTGTTTTAGGTAAAGGTGAGCATCCCTGGGTATTTCAATGTGAAAGTAGTCATAGAGAAACTCTTTAAATAACAAGTTGTATGTAGATAGTCACGTTTGATTGGTTCATCAGCGGGGGGTCAATCATGTAAGTATCATTGCAATCACTCTGTTAAGGGTTATAAAGCCACTCCACATCAATGTCAGTGTGTTTTTAACCTCTGTCAATAGCACTTGAGCTTCTCCCATGTTCTGATTGTGTACACTGTGCAATTGCGATTGAGCGGATAAAAACCTAAAAATAACCCCCAACAGGGAAAGACTAATCAAATAAAAGTAGTCATCTATGAAAGTCAAGTTCAAAGAAGACACACCAATGCCAGAGTGAAGGCCAAAAACTGTGTTTCTGTGAACTGTTCTTTGGGAATATATTTGGGGTTTTCCACATGATGTCATCAAAAGCTCTACTTTTAGCTATACTTACTAAATCCAATCTACTTCACACCACAATTGCCATCTGCTTTAAGGTATTTCTGCACTTTGCATGAAAACAACCAAGTTCATCACTCTACTGTATCAGTCCGTCTGAAATGGTGCACTACTTATCCCCATTTTTCAAAAGTACCAAACAATGTGGCAAGGGTTAAGGTTAGGCAACTATCTTTGTGAGTTGTGACCCAGTACTCTGTACATTTCTTATATCAATTACCACATAAACGCCAGAGATCAGTTTCATTTGTTTCTCTCTGTTAGTCTCAATGTGGGAGACTTACTAGTGGACACTATTATGGACATCAAGTCATTTCAGCCGTAAATAGGTATTAAAACGTTTTGTTTCTGTCACCCACAGGCCTGTGTCCATATTTGAGAGACTTTAAGAAACACAATCTGAATGCCAGTAATACAAAGCCAAGGCTGGGTCAAATTGTAGGACCCCTATAAAACTATTTGAGCAACAAAGAGCAGTACTGTACATTCAATTTTAAAGCTGCAAACATCATTAAGAGCCATTGTTCATTTAAAGTTTCAGAACATTTCTCTGACTTGAAAGATTAGAATTTAGTTGTGAGTAGAGGCAGAGGCAGCTCAGGCGTCCGTATAATTACGGGGAAATTACATTCATTATAGTAATTTACATCTCATCTCCAATCCAATTATTAGCAGTTTGACCTGCACGGCACATGTTAGCATGGAAATCTAAAATGGGCTCCCAAGACGGAGGTAAAGGAGGGGTGGAGCACAGGAAGAAAGCGATAGGGTGAATTTGGGACTTTGGGAGTTGTAGGAGGGGAAAAAACAATCAATATGGCTCTAAAAGATGATGATTTTAAATAGGCATAATTATCTGCCTCAGAGCACAGCTGCCAAGGGCGCCGCTGCAACACTTTGATGTCTGATATGCAATATTGCTGCCAGTAATTTGCTCATCTGCATCTCTGGAGGGACTGTGGCCTGTCTGTCTTGTTCATCTGCCTGATAATGTGTTGCCAGTCAGTCTGTCGGTCTGTCCGGCTGTCTCTCCATCTTTAAAACTGTTATTCACTACACACGTATACATCTTCTCATGAACATTTTGAGAGGAGTGGAACTAGGAACTTTTAAGTGGGAAAGAGTTCTCCAAAGAACAAACATATCCAGTAAACAATGCAATCCCTCTTGTATCTTGTTCATAATACCGCACTTATGTAAACTACCACAAAACAAAACAGATTGTTGGCCCTACCTGCATGACTGCTTGATCAGCTGTAGGTCTGAGCTCTCTTTCCTAACAATCTTCTTCACTGTTATTTTCTCTGAAATTGCTATGGACATCACTGTGAGAGACGCAGTGCGTAGGAAGCAATCAGTTCTTCTGTTTTGCTGCAATCTCGTCATTATATTTCTTGAATGCAAGACCTACAATTTGCAGGGCATGTTAGGTAGAGGCTTGAATTGTGTGTTTGTGTGGGTGGGTAAGGCAGTGTTTTCATAAGCTCTCTATAAACGTATTTGCTTGAATAATGATGTGATCAATTACTAAAATAAAGATGTTGGCTTCGTCCCTTACATGCTACATAACCAAAAATAACCAAATGTAGTCATCTCTCCAGTTAATTATTTGTTGCCGTTTCTGTATAAATGAACTTTCTGCTAAGCCCTGCGGTTTCATTGCAAGTTGTGAACTTACATATCTACTCTAAATGGGTTCAATTGAACATATGCTGACTTTGTACAAGAAGCTGGCACAGTTAAGTCCCTTTGAAATATGTTCTGATTGATTTGGATTTTGGTGTTCTGACACATTTTAGGGTTGCACTGCATGTGTGAAAGGGACTTTAGAAATGATTCAGCTATGCTACATCTTTGTCTGTGTGAGCGATGAAAGACACTTGCATATCTCCCAGGAAACCAAGTCAATGCTTCAAATTTAGGTTTTTTTTGAAGCCAGTAGACAGCAGATCAGATAGCTTCAAACCAAACTGTCTCACACTGAGCTACTGGTTGACTTTCAGAGTGCCCCATTGTCATGAACAATTTCCATAAATCTCCACAGTCTAACAGGCAGGTTGAGAGAAGCACAGGGTGTGTGTTGAGGAGCTGTCATCCTCCATCAACACCTACAGTAAGCAAGTGTGTGTGTGTGTGTGTGTGTGTGTGTGTGTGTGTGTGTGTGTGTGTGTGTGTGTGTGTGTGTGTGTGTGTGTGTGTGTGTGTGTGTGTGTGTGTGTGTGTGTGTGTGAATTCCGTATGAGACTCCTGGTTTGAATGTCTTAGATGTCCTTTGAAGTTTAAGACAGCTCTGCATCAGCTCAATGGTTCCACTTCATGGGACGTGAGTATGTGGACATGAGCAACATCTGAGTCACTGACTTGTGTGCCATTTTGTGTGTTTGTGTGTGTGTGTGTGTGTGTGTGTGTATGTGTATGTGTATGTGTATGTGTATGTGTATGTGTATGTGTATGTGTATGTGTATGTGTATGTGTATGTGTATGTGTGTGTGTGTGTGTGTGTGTGTGTGTGTGTGTGTGTGTGTGTGCGTGTGCGTGTGCGTGTGCGTGTGCGCGTGAGTGAATGTCCACCTTGCTCTGGCATGTGTGCTTTTGCTCATGCATGACTGAGTACCCAAAGGTGTCTCAATTCCTTCCGTTGTGTCGGCCTCTACCTGTCTATCCAAATGAGTACACTGCCATTCCACGGACACACTGCCCAGTTTTGACAGACACTTGACTCCACACAATACCTGAAGCATGTCAAGTAAAAATGACGTTTGCCAGTGCTGTAAAGTTGACTTTGTTTTATTTTAGTGCTGCTCTCAGGTCCCCAAGTCCAATTACAAGCAAGGCAAAGCTCACAAACAAAAGTCCCATGACTCACATACATTGGTTTTGGTTACATGTAATCTCTCTGTCTCAATAATATAACTTTACCCAACTTTAATCAAATGTTATGTTTAGATTTAGCCTCTCCCAAGTTTCATAAACTTGTCACTTAACTTTTCAGCTTTCCATTTTGAATTCCTGCTGGTGGCATACATTACTTATTACCTCGCTCATTTTTGATTAATTTGGGTTTTTGATATTTACAATTGTACCAGCTTATAGAGCTAAGTTATTATTCTTGTGCTCTGTACCATTCACATGTACGTGATATTAATATTTTTATGGGACTTACTGGATCGCAGAGCGGACGGGGTGACCTCGATCTCACTAGTGGTTTGGTAGGGCTGAAAGGCAGACGCCGAACTCATGCCACTGACGAAGGGTTCGGGACTCTGCGTACCGGTGGAGCTGGCACTGGTACCATCCCCTCCATTGTGAGGATCCTGCTCTTCATATACTGCTACCAGCTGGACAAAGAGGAAAAAACATGTTTGTGAATATTTAAATAGAGACACAGAAATGTTATCAGTCTTCATTAGCAGTAAATATTACATGAGGTATGTGTCCATACATGAATGGGTGCACATGCACTGTACATGAGTGTTTGTAGGTTTTGCAGTTTTGCAATTTCACATTCAGGCAACCAGCCCCAGCCCAAATCACTCTATCATGTTGTAAGTCATGTAGCAACTCTCTCTTTCTCTAAAGTCTAATCTTGCAGCATCTGCAGTCATGTAGCACTGTGTGTTCCGGATTGCCAGGTTTGGCTCCCAAAGCGAGCAGCTGCTCCATTCCGACAAAGGTGATACGTTGCCACGTTTCACCGGGCCAGATATGGAGAACTCCCCACAGCATCCCGTAATTAACAGAGTCTAACACACACGGCTCATCCACACAGCCAACTCCCCCACTTAACAAGAGAGCAAGGGAGAGACGGCAGCTTGGATTAGGGTTGTGTGAGAAACAGTAGACTCTTTTTCAGTGGGATAAAGAAAATTAGATCGGACATTGCTGATTGACTACATGTGAGTCAAGGCTTATTCTTATGCTCCTCGACTGTGCCATACAGAGAGAAAGGGGGTGAGGGGGGGGGAGCAATGAAACCACAAAACCTAGAGTGCCAAGTGGTTTTCATTGCCAGCACAACCTGTTACTAAACCTCTCACAAGAAGATTAACCTCTTATTCCATGCAGACAGAGCGATCATTCAGCAGCAGCCTGTTACACAACATGCTACACAGAACAATAGTATGTATAATACAGACTTGAGATGGGTTCCTTTTTATGTCTTTGTGCTACCTGCAAATCTGTGTAATGAAAGGCCATGGATGTGGAGAGAGAAACCAACAAAGAAAGCATTAGTCGCCGCTGGGAGCAAACAGCTTTCGTATATCCCGCATCGTATTTGTCTGAAGATAAAAATAGCACAAGTGTTTTTCCATGTATTTGCTGTTTTTCATCACCCAGACGCAGGGAAATCTGCATACAAACAAGTTTAGAAGCCCCTGCTCCTCGATTTGATTTAATTTATATGCAGAGGATGATGCGTACAGTGTGTATGTGTTGGTGTAGAAGCGTCTGAATTTATGCCTTTCTGTGAGGATGCCCATGTGGTTTACTGATGCCGTAATTCACAGCAACATCTCTCATGCTGGCTTTGCACAATTAAAGCAAACATTTTTCTTAAGGATGTTTCCTGGGATCTTAGTGTCGTCTCCGAGAAGTACTTTATCAGTAAAGGCTTTCTTCCATTTCACTCTAATCCTGTTCCATTCCGAACTTGAAATGACATTCCTCAGGTTGTAAGGGTTTGTCGCAAATGTGCTCAGTGCACCAGAGAGGCAATCAGAGAGAAAAGAGATCTGGTGCTACAAAACGAGAAGGCCTTAATATTAGAAATCAGACAGTTGAGGAGGTTATTTGCTGAAGGTTTGCTTGTTGGCAAATGTATACATTCACATCTTAAGGCATTAAAGACACTTTGATGTATACTTATATTGGGTAATCTGTCTTATTACCATCTTATATTTTGATATCTAACAAGATGTTAAAACTAATTCCAGGAGGTGAAGAGTTTGTGTATGCGTTTGAAGGATGAAATAATGTTTTCGCTGGGAAATGTTGTGATAAGGATTAAAGGAACAGCTATTTGAAGATGAGGAGGCGGCTGTGAACACAGACGAGAGTGAAGGGTTGTCCCCAGAGGTATTTACGCTACCCGAATGCATGTGCCAGCCAATGAATCATTAGTGACAAAGTAATCAGGCCTCCCATTCATATGTTGCTGGGAGTATTTAGCAACCTGACAAGCCCCCTGCCTGCCAGCTGCCCATTTAGAGGAGTAGTGAATACTGTTGTTGGTGTCGCGGCGAAGTGTGATTCATTTTTAAATACATTCAAAATCCCTCTAATTAGGTCCACTTCGCTATGCCTTGGATCCTTTCACCAGACTCTCCAGAGTACTCTGTTGGTATCTGACATGTACAGCTAAACTCATTCACACACCCTCTATTTCATAATCAAAGGGGTCTGCATTTATCCCGCATCCAATATTTATGTGCTCTTGAAAGGGCTTGGTTGTCCCCTAAATCCAGGGAGAGAGATGAAAAAGTTCCCACTTTTCGAAAGCTGATTTCACCTTTTAGGTCGTACTGCATCATTTTGTGTCTGTTCTTGATCTGTTCGCCTAACGTTTACCTGACATGCGGGTTCAATGAATCCCTAATGAAAGCCTTCAACAAAATAGTATGGTAACATTTAATTTAAAAAGTTTTGCATGCTAATTTGAACTATTATCTAGAGAGATATGGGCAGCAGGCACCGTGTTGCCATAATCCAATCATTTTTAAATCAAATCTTTAGCACTGATGCATATCATATTAGTATGAGTCAACCATGAGTATAATTCGGCAACTATATTTTAAAAGTTTCTGCGTTTTTGGATTCCGAACAAGTTTCTGCTTATCTACCAAGTCCAGTTAGGACACTGATCTCCAGCACTGCTTGTAGCCGGTTATTTGTGTTGTGCCCAAAACATACAGACAGGGATGGAAGAGGAAGTTGGAAAGAACATAAACATTGTGTCTTACTTATGATCAATACACTTCTGCAGACTATCGACGGTACTTTATGGTCTGCCAGATTTTGAGAAGTATGCCATACAGCCTTCTTCATTCTCGTTCTATCGTCTTCATGTCCTCTTTACTGTGGAGAAGGGGGCTTGGCCGGAGAGAAAACTGATGCAATTGTTGCTGTTGACAGGACAGAGCTCAAGCTGCAATGCCACGAAAACCATTTCACAAACGCTTTCTGGGAATTGGTCACAGTCACTTTAGAACTGAGATGATTTTATGTTTAAACATTCTTATGCTCAGACTCTCTCCCCCCCCCCCCCCCCCGGGCTACTGTGCAGCGGGTGTCGGGTAGCATTCAGAAGTTTTGCAAAAAGAGGAAAAAGTTTTAGCAAAGTAAAAATGGGAACGGCATGTCTAATTGTCAAGTGGCGTAACGGCTGACGCTCAGGAGTCCAAGCAGAGGGAGAGGAGGGGAGTGAAGAGAATTTAAAAAAGAACCCCCAATAACACGATGCTACAACCTAGAAAAAAACACATCTTATCCAAAGGTAGGAAAAGAGGAATGAGAGAAAGTAAAAGACAAGATGTAAGACGAAGAAATGTTCCAGTTTGCAGTCTCCGGATAAACTCTGGAGCCATTTGAAAAACCTATTTAGCTTCTGCCTGCTTGAGTTGAGAGAAGCAAGAAAAAGAGGAAAAGTGACTGAGTCTTATTTCATGGGCCTTTTTCTCCTTCCAGCAGGGAGCTACAACATCGCTGCTGCCTTAAGCCCCTGGTGCAAGGCTGACACTCATCCACTCTCAGCCGGTTCCACTGACTGTCACAGCAGCTGCCAATCAACCGCTATCTACCTGAAGCCTGAGGGCTGCAGGAGCAGAGGATGGAGAGAGATGATGATGAAGGCCTGAGACGAGGTGGAGGAGAGGAAGAGAAGCAAAAGGAAAAGAGAAAGTCAGATGAGGTCGGGCATTCTCTGCAGCCTAGGTAAAGGCTGTATTTGGGATTCAGCATTTCCATATCTGTAACGGAGAGAGCAGGGAGACAGGGCACCGAAAAAGGGAATCTCAGGGATGCCTTTCATGTCGGCCTCCTTTGATCTCCTCCCGGCTTTTGGCAGCAAGAGTGGAGTAGAAAAGGAGACGGAGAGGAAGCAGCTGAGGAGGGGATGAGGAGCTGTTTTGACAACCTCTCCCGTCTCTTTCTGTCTCCTACAATCCCCCCCCCCCCTCCACCTCCAGAACCTCTGATCTGTCAGGAAGCGCGGGCATTAGGATTGGCACCCGTACAAACAGCCGTCCCAGGCGTACAGCGAGAAACGTTCAAAAGACACAAGACAACAGAGGATATTAGCAGTCACGGGGCAATGCTGGCAGTGCCACCAGAGACGTGTAATACCTGCCCCGCGATGCTCTGACGCTAATCCATATCTGCCAAAACAGCTTTTTCACAGCTGAGTGGAAGGGACGGCTGACATGAGTCAACCCGCGGGAAACCTGTCCGCTCAATCCACACCTTTAATTAAAAAGAGCACATCCAAAGGCGCGCCAGGCTACGTCCTGCTCTGAATATTTATGGCCGCACAAAAGTTATCCCTTTGAGGCAAGATTTGAATGTTCATTCAAAGTCACGCCTTTTTTCTTCTCCCTTTCAATCCAAAAACTAAAATTCGGTATACTTGTATTTGTGTGTGAGAAGGACTAAGGCTTTGTGCTGTTATATTTGTTTAAAAGAAGGAATGAATAATACTTTGTAGTTGTGTTAAGTAAAGCACTGCCTTGGGTAACTTTGGTATAGTCTCTGCTAGAACACACACATACCCTTACACACACACAAACAACGTATATTTCACCTCCCATCCCTACCATTTATCATCATTTTGTTGCAAGGGCACCAGGGGCGCACAGTTATTACAGGTACAGTAGTGTACTGTAAAAGCCACTCCACCAAATATTCCATGAACTCTAAACTTGTTGAGTAATAGCCATGAGCTACTATCCCTCATCCTCACACCACCCATCTGTCCATCCATCCATCCATTCATCCCCCCCTTCGATACTCACCATATATCATGTCATGGAACCTTTAAGCATCCGTCAAAGAGTGAGATTTTGGATCGCTTTGCAAACAGATCCACATTACAGCCTTGATATGATACATTCTTCACTGTAATGACAGTGCATTCTCTTTTCATTTCTCTCTAATAGAATGTGACCTTTACTTGTAACTCTTTTATGACCTTAGGCAACATCACAATGGAGAGAACTTCTCCCTAGAGTTATCACAGAGTTTTGAATATTTCATCCCTTCCTCCCGTCCATTATTTCTCACACACTCTGAGTCGAGCAAAGCAACAAAGTGCTTAGTCTTGTATTTTTCCTGCTCATTAAGACCA